GGAGCGGGCGGGAGGGCTGGCGGTGGGCACCGGAGAAGTAAAGCTGGAAAACTTTCTCCTTTCTTCTCTGGACGGGCCCAGAGCCAGGGAGGCCGGCCAAGTGTATTAAAAAAATACACCTGCTAGAATCTGTGTAGCTGTTTGATGAAGGAAAACTTGGCCGGAGGGCAGAAACTGACTAGCTGCCAAGTGCAGCACAGCCCTGAAATTAGTCCTGAAAATTGGGGGTGGTGCAAGGGAGCAGGCTCTGGGAAAGACCCTAAGTGGACAGTGGCGACGAAGAGCCCTGCCTAGCCTCCGTTTCCCTCCAGAACTGGTGGGAGCCCTTCTAGGCCGCCCTTCCACCAAAGCTTGGTTCTCCTGAGTTGTCACTCATCCAGTTGGGGGCCAAGAGCGAAGGACTTTAGGCATTAAAAAGAAACCAAAGCCCGGCCGGGCGTGGCTCAGGGGCTGAGCATCGACCTAGGATCCAGGAGATTGGGGTTCGATTCCCGGTCAGGGCACAGGCCCGGGTTGTGGGCTAGGCAGCCGATCAATGACTCGCTCATCATTGACGTTTCTCTCTCTCTCTCTCCCCCTCCTTTCCTCTCTCTGAAATCAACAAAGATATGTTTAAATAAATAAATAAACCAAAGGTCCGGCCGGTGTGGCTCAGGAGTTGAGCATCAGCCCATGAGCCAGGAGATCACAGTTCAAATCCCCGTCAGGGCACATGCCCAGGTTTTGGACTGGATCCCAGTGGAGGTGTGCAGGAGGCAGGTGAACAATGACTCTCATCATTGATGTTTCCATCTCTCCCTCTCCCTTTCCCTTCCTCTCTCTGAAGCCAATAAAAACATATTTTTAAAAAAAGTAAAATAAAACAAACCAAAGGACGCTGGGTTTGGGATTGGACTAGACTTGAGCCACCAGAGCTAGGGGGTTCTGGCTGAGTCTCTCCTTGCCTCGGTTTCCCCAGCAGTAAAGGGATCGGGTCACCCAGGAGGTCTTGGAGGGTGGGATGGGGACACAGCTCAGGGGGCAGTGGCAAAAGCAAGGTGGAGCCTGAGGACACTGGAAGTCTCGGCCAGAAGTACCCTCGGAGCCCTGGGCCTGGCGTGTCTGTTTGAAGGTTCTTCTCGGCCCAGACAGAGGGACATGCCAACAGGGATAAGCTTGGGGCGGGGAGTAAAGGGACCCAGATCAGGGAGCTATGGATTCCTGCTGCCCGCGGTGCTCCGGGGAGGGCTGGGGGGGCTGG